GTTTCATATTCCCCCTTGTTCACCTTTCCCTCGTTTGCAACTCTTTTTTCGTTGCACAAAATCAAAATCAAAATCAAAATCAAAAATTGAGTCAAAACAAGAAGGGGGGAAAATTTCTGTACCCTCTAATTCTGGGGTTTTTTTTCTAATATAGTATCGCGAGTATGGGGAAGACAATCAAAGAATTTTTTTTTCATCCCTTCGAAATCCCCCATCGCCATTTCTCAAATTTCCACCGTTTACTTTCGTCGAATCAATCCGTTTCTGTCGAAAGTAGCTGCACCGCGTCGGGGTCCGCGCTCGTTTTACAATATCGGAATGCCACGCGCTGTGATTCGACAACAAATTTTAATTATCATACCGCGAGTGAATCCTCGCTCGGGCGAAATTAATCGGACTAACCGTTGCGGCGGGGAAATCGATGCTCGGCCAACAGAATTTTCGGAAACTCAATTGCACGAAGGCCGGGTATAGTTGGATAGCAATTAGGTTGCGTTCAATGATGGAATTCATGGTGAACTGCCTTCGAAGACCGTCTCAAAGGGTTGCTCGACCACGCCGCCGGAAGAAAGTTTCCCAGCGCCAATTACGTCGTTGCAAAACAAAGAGAAACGGTTCGACATTCTCGAACGTGCAGGTATCCCTCTTATAACGCGGTTCGAGAATCGAGGAATATTACAAAACTTGTCAATTTTTCAATTTAAACGCAACCTCGATGTCTATTTACTCCAGCAATTCGTCGTCTCAGATTTGACAATTAAAAAGAAAGCAACAAGTATGAAGGGAAGATAAATGAAACCAACGAGAAATCATTCGTTGCAACCACGGTTAAATTTTATGGCGTTTTTTTAATGGCGCTGTTTCCCGTTGCATTACGAACGCAGACGAAATTATTACGACCAACTATATTATTTATCCGCCTTAAGACGATTAAACCTCGCAGTTTAGTGGCAAAATCTTTCAAACGCAGACTATGCAACCGCCTACCATAATTGCCCTGCCGTTAAAGAGTGTTGCAAATAAAGTAAAAATGCATTCTCCCTTAACCTTCGCTTAAAACGTAATGAATCGAAAAACGCAATAATCCACGAGATGCTCGTTACGTGGCGAGTAAACTTCTTGCTCGTTTAAAAGCGCTCGAGAACAGTCGTCCTCGTTTCGTTATTTTACGGACACGGTTATTTTTAATCGCGACAATTAAAACGAACTCGTTTGAATCCGCGGGCACCGATTGACCGCCTCGATTTTCGTCAAAATTCCACGAAGAATTTTAATCACGAATATTCGGTAACTACGCCATTACAGCGAAACTTTGGGGGCTTTGGAAAAGTTGGAAATTGCGGCCCTAATTCGATGGCCAAGGACTGTATTACATTGTAAATTTAATTTTCTACCTGAGAAGTGAAATTATTTACGAGTGAATCGATACTGAAACTGACAAGAGAGGACTTGTAAAAAAATATACATAAATCTTAAAAAATTATGTTTATTAATGAACGCAAAGGCCATCGAAAGGAAATGGAAGTTTTAAAGATTCTCAGATTTTCGATCGCGCAAAGCAGCGATTCTTTCAACGAATATTATCATTCGCGATGTCGTGTCGTGTCGCGTTAGAAGTAGAACGATCGTATTTCTACCTGGCGCGCCGTCTACGCAAATCCCATCAGCGGATGTATGGCGTGGCGCAGAAGGAAATTATTAGAGGCAGAAGCGAAAGGGAAGAATGGCGACGGGCGACAAGACGAGACGGATGGAAGAAAAAAAAAATATATATAAGGAAACCGCCGCGGAATAAAACTCCGACCTGGGCTAAATCAAATCACTGGCAAGTCTTCCCCCCCCCCCGTCGACTGGCTGACGTCGACGTCTTGCGCGTGATTTGCAAACGCGAGCACGCGAGATTTAATTTTCCGCGTATTTATAGAGCGACGCGTACGAGCGACAACGGGACATCCTAATAAAAATGCGTCTTTACGCGTCAACGATGTCTCGCGGAACAATTTCCAAGCACGATACAAAATCTGAACTTAGGTCTATTTCTACCTGCACTTGAAAAACGTTCGCAAATTTGGTTCATCGTCGTTTAAATGTGTTAAAGTTACATCGATAAAAACGTGGTTTAAAATGGAACTCCAAAAAGTCGATCATCCTCTCGTCTCACTCACAAAATATAGAGTTTCTGTAGTTCAATAAAATATTTCTATATTTGTGAATCGCGAAGGTGTTTCTTCTTGGGTGTCTCGTTAGGATCCGAGTGTATTTTTCATTAAACTTGGCCAGAGTAGCGCAATGTTCGATGTTCGAGCTGCCTCGGGACATCATTATCGTAGCGTTAAACGGATCCACGAAATAAAGCGTTTCGTTGAATCGCGGGGCGTCGATCGGCCCAAAAACGAAAGCAATTTTTCAATTCAGCATCCCGGAAATTGAAGCCCGGGCGAAAAACTTGGTGGACGCACAAAGGAACCCGGCTCAACGGTGTCCAGCAAGGAGATAACGCGAACAGGTCCGCGGGTTGAAAGAGATAAAATTCGCAGGCCAGTCGGTCTACCCTCTGGCAGGAATTGGATATTGAAAGTCCGCGAAGTATTGCAATCAGGGTCCGATTAATTGCATCCTTTGATTTACACGCCGGCTGCCGGACGAACTTATATAAAGCCGATTCAAACGATTCCGCGGCGAGGACGAGCGACGCGGACCGGCGTGTGCAGAGGAATCCACGATCCGCGATGGGAAAAAGAAGGGTGGATACTTTTCAACTTTTCGCAACTTTTTCCAGACCGCTCAAAGGCCCCCCTCCCCCTTTTCCTGAGGATCGGACGTCGATGGCGCGGTGAAAGCGACAGAGAAACTGATGAGATGCTGCAAGCAGCTGAATCTCTTCCTTAAATTTCCGCGGAGAGGAAAAATTGCTCGCAGAGAAAACGAGCAGGGTGGGTCGCTTCTTCCGTGACCGGACGCGAAATTTTATCCCTTTGGAAATGTACGCAATTAAGGGCTTGCCACTATGCGGAGGCCACGCAAAAACAATTTTTTCGGTAAAAAGGGAAACGTCGTAATTAACACTAAACCTACTACGACCGGTCAAATGATAGTTTTTGAAATTTTGTTTAGAATTTCTTATGATATACGTTATGTATACTGGCCTACAATAGTCTATTAACGCGTATTAAAAATAGTTAAACTTTGGAGCGTGTAGTTCCGAAACTACTAAGATTTTATTAATAATTGTGCTACTGTTAGAAGTGGTAAAGCTTCCCCTTTAAAATGGTTCTTTGTTTACGTCGATCCGACTTTCCGTTTTCGAGATATCGCAATTTTAGTGAAGGCGTAATTATTCAATTTCCACTGTGATCTCTTTCACCGCCTTAGAAAAGGCTATTAACGCGTATTAAAAATACTAAAACTTTAGACGCGTGCAGTTCCGAAACTACTAGGGTTTTATTAATAATTGAGCCAACATTGGAAGCGGTAAACCTTCCCCTTTGAAATGGTTTTTGGTTTTTGACGATCGGACTTTCCGTTTTCGAGATATCGTAATTTATGTAAAGGGTAATTTTTCTTAATTCGACTATCGCTGTCTTCGTCTGACGCGTCGCGCTGGACCTCTCTCTCGCGCGTGAGTCGAGACAGTCACGTGACGCGGAAGCGTAGTATTTCCAAGAATTTACTACGCACTGTTTACTATTGTCACGCGCGCGAGTTCATTCATCTCAATGAAACGTAAACAAAGCTTCGAAGCCTTATATCTCCGAAAATAGCCACCGCATCGACTTGAAACTAAAATCCTCATATCTCCGGAACTAATTACGCTATCGACTGGTTCGAACGCTCATTTTAAAGGGCATTTCATCCCCTATCCAACGAACCTAACAACTATTATTATTTATGCTGTCTTCTATGTTTATTTTGACATTTACTTTGACACTATGCACCCAAAGAAGTTTGAGCAATTCTAATAAAATTAGTTATTTTATCGATAAAGAATTAAAAATTGTATTGTATTTGCGGAATCACTAGCCAGCGTTTTTTCGTAAATCATTGTTTTCCCTTCTATCTCAAAGAGTTACCTTTACTTTTTATATGAAAATTCAGTGTAATGGATCTCGTTGGAAACCATTATCACTTTTGTATGCATTACATCGAAGTTATAAATTTAACCAGACAGAGTGATTCTAGAAACTAGGGCAAGCTATAGCTCTCTCCTAGGCGAAGATACAAATTCTTATAAGAAAAACTTAGAATCCGAAAAGTAGGGAATAAAATTTTCCAAAGGCGTATATCCCCTGTCGATCGATAGTTTTCAAAAAATGACTAGAAACGTTATAAAAGACTTGTAAACATTTCAACAAATTGAGAATTGAAAATTTAATAAATATGGAAGACTTTTCTTGTAAAAAAACTCAATATTTAGTATATTATGAAAATAATATACAATTAAAACGTTCTTATTGTTCACCAACGCTTTTAATTCGTCAAAGCGATATTAAAATGCGGTAAATAACACAAAACAACTTTCAATTTGTACACGCGACACGAAACTCCGCAATTTTATAGCAATATCGGGAAAACTTTTTATTTTTGACTTCCTGACTAAATTTTAAAATCATCCTTCTTTGTTACGGTCTATTGCAATTTTTCATAAACACCGGCTTCCATAAATCGCGAATTTTCACTGCCGTTCGTTCTTCGAAACGTCGAATTTACGAACACCGCCAAACAATATCCACAAAAGTTTACAGAAAATATTTCGCTACCGACACGTTCCGATATATCCATAAACAAATGACAGATTTTCGCGTTTCGTGTGGTCGCGTTGCGAAAATCGATGATAACTCCGGCATGCCCGATGGCACCCGACGTTTGGCGGGTTTTTAAATGAAAACTTACAATGTATCCCATCGACGATGCAAACGACGAAGCGATGACGACGTTCCGTCCCGAGAAACGGGCGAAAATATCAGTGTTTTCGTAAGAGGACGAAAAAACTCGCTTTCGCTATGGAGGGCATCTACGCCATAATATTCACCGTAATCCTGATGTTTCCTTTCATCGTCCAGTTGCAAATGCTAATCGTACGTAATGCATTTTCTTCGCGGATCTCGCCTAGCTACAAACTCTATAATCAAGTTCGCTGAAGGCTTATGCAACGCCGTGTATTTACATCTTTGTTTATAGTACATAACCCTTGCAAATCTCTTAAACCGTCATTTTGGGAGACAAAGTCACGATATCGAAAATCTAAAATAGCTATTCGTTGGTCGAGTAAATTATAATCCCCTAACGAATTTCTTAAGCTGCCATTTTGAAGAACTAAGTCACCATCGAGAATTTAAAATATATATATTCTTTGTCACTAGAACTACCAGGGTCAAAATGACTCGTTCATAATTTCTAATGAAAATTGTTACGAATTTAATCGACTGGATTTTTGAAAATTTATCGTGGTTTTCTATAAAAGTGTTTTAATTTTTTTAGCACAAATAAATACACTATAATTATAATATTTGTTCATTGGAAAAAATACCATCGCGTTTCAATTAACCCCTTGCCTTACAATAACGAGTCTGACTCTTTTCAAGTTTCACTCGTCGTCAAGTCTCATGACGAGGTATTCATGAAACAAATCTACTATTTTTCGTGGCCATTCTTTATTGAAATTTTTATAAAATTAAGCAAGTTATGTCGAATCACTATCCAGATGATAGAATCACGCAAACCTCGACAAATATTATTTCTGCGCTAACAGGCAAATCCAAAGAAGTTTCTGGCCATCTTCCACTACTACGCGACGAACGAGGACGCGGAGAAAAGACCGACGCCGACGTTGTTGCAACACTATCCGAAAGACTCGACAATAATCGAAGCCAGATCCGACTCGAAGATGCTGTTGGCCAGCTTGAGGACCGCCTCGTCGTCGCCGGCCATGTCGCGCGCGGATTCGATCAGTAAACCGGGTACACCGATTAAAGCGATGCTCGCGGAAGCGAGACACTCGTCCACGTTCGTAAAAACGGGCAAGGTGCTGCCGGTGGTGGACATAACGTGGACCTACAGTTCGTACAGGTACAAAACGTTCGAGTCGTGCCTACGAGATTACTATGGCGCCAGGTACCCGCCCGGCGAAGTGGTATTGAATTCCATGCAGCTGCATCTGTTGGACTCGAACACGAACACGAACGCGAACGTGACCGGTCTCTTTGACTTCGTCAAAGAGAGCGAGCTGCAGCTGAACGGACCCGGGGTATCAAGGAAGCTGGAAATTGAGTATCTTAATCCGTTGGATCACTTTGTGACGAGGCAACTCGGCAGTCCGTTGACCGAGGATAGATTCACCGAAACGCTTCGCGAACAGGCGAACGAGGATCGTCGGCCGTCGTCTCACAATGCAGCCTGGCGCGAGGATCCTATCAGAGACGTAATCACCGACCGGGAAAAGAATGCCGGGATCAATCGGAGATCCTCGAGAAAGATCGAACTCCCTTGCAAATGCAATTTGTCAGCGCCCCGGCGTGTTTACGGGCCGAACGATCCCCAACGAAGAAACGTTCCCGTGGCCGGGGAACTCACGGCCTCTTTGAGACCTACAACCTAGACTCGACGGACCGCGATCGATTAGAGGACGGGTCTGATTGGTCAAAAGGCGACGAGAGACGTTTCGAGGGGGAATGTTCGTTGCAAAATTACGATAACTTCTCTCGACTAGGAGGGGAATTCATTTCTTTCCTGAATCAAGGCCGCCCGCGACGATGTTTCGTGTACTGTGGGTTGCTGGCAAGTTGGCCATTTGAGAAATATGCGAAACTGATTTATTGTGAAGGAACAGTACTAACGGTTCTGGCTCAAATTGATCCTGGGGCAATTGGGAAATTATATTGCATTTGTTCCTTTTTGGTTCGAGTACCTATTTGTACAGGGTGTCTCGTAACATGTGGAACTGGATTCTACAGATGAAAACAGGCCTGGAAACGTTTTATCATTGGCTGTCTTATCCTTTCCATTTATCCAGGAATTGTTCAAATTGCATAGAAGTCTTATACGATTCTTTCAAAATTATTATATCAATACACAACTCGTCATAGCTCGAAAACAAAGTCTGTTTATATGAACTTTTTTATTGTTTTCATGTGTAGAATCCAGTCCTAAAGTGGCTACGGGACACTCTGTGTTATACTTTTTCAAACATTCGTTGAAAAATCTTTAAGGTGGCGCACGTGATCCATTTTGACTGCCAACTTATCAGGAACGTGCAATACAATCCACTTGTATTCGTTCGTCTATTTATTGTACGCTTTTAATAATACCATATTCGAAGCATACACAACTCCATTTTGGTTCTGTTGATAATAATAAATAACCGTGTTTGGACCAAAAGTGCGGTTTTTATTAAAACATTTTAAATGAAAATCCATTTAGCACTTGGCCCCCGATCGAATCAAAGCAGATTCTTTGGTTATTTTTCAATATTTGTTCTAGTGCATCGCTTTAATAAACAACGCGTGCAAAGCCCAAATTGAAAAATATAAAGCCGTTTAAATTAAATACAAATTCTGATTATATAAATACAGTTTCAAAATAAAGCTTGCACGAAAATATTCCATATTCTCTGAAACGATTACTCTACGAAGAGCGAGACACGACAAAAGAGAAATGGAATTCGATTAAAATCTGATTGAAATATAGTAAAGTGTTTTACTATAAATAACTATTAAAATATGGAAGAACAATAATTCGAATGATTTTTTTTTGTCAAGTGACTCGTATTCGATAAATCTCTCGAAAATACTGAACAATTTTTCGTATAACTTTACCGTATAACGATTTGAATGTGATTCGTAAAATTTTATAAAAATAACATTTTTTATGCATTCGAAATACTTGTTATATACTAGTAAAGTCAATTACGTGTTTCAAATAGTATTAAATTTGCGTAATATAGAAACGAATTACAATTTCAAACAAAGTATTTTTACCCAGGGCTTACTACAACCCTTTTTCAAAATACATTTCTCATTTAACAGGATCGCGTTAACCCTTTGTGGCAGCTGCCCTGTTAACGGCACTCCTACGGTGAAGGTCATTTATTATGTTCTGGGTGACCTGTTTTAAACTAAACTAACCGAAACACAATTAATCTCGCGAAAGAATTTCTTAAAAATGTTTACCATGAAATGCGAATTAACCAGAACTTGAAGTTGAACGAGAGCAATCCGTAATCGATAATGAAACTGGCTGATATCCTAATGTTACTTAGACACGATTGGCTGCTGGCGGGTTTGACGTAATCAACGCTAGACGTCAGAATGATATTAGCATTCACTAATGACAAAACATAGCATGCATTCGATAGTCGATGGGGAGAGGTTCGTCGACGACGTTTCGAATAGAAGCTAGTGGTAGCGGATAAGACGGATTAGATAGAAGGAAGGTCCCGCGGGATAGCTTTCTAGAAATTGCGTCTATTTATTGATCGTCCATTGCATTGGAATATTCGGCCAAACCTTGGCCTCCATCCACCTTCAGCCTTCCCTTATCTTCGTCTCTGGACGATGGCTTCGATAATACAGAAACAATCAACAAATCAAAGAAATTGTGGTATACACAGGAAGATAATTAATCTTAACCCTTTGCACTCCGAATTATATTTAAATCTTGTTACCAGCTGCTCCCAATGCTTTTAAGTGTTTTATTTGAAATTTACGTTAATTAAAAAATATTGTATTTTGTCATTTTTAAGTGTATATCTCTTTGGTTTGGACTCGACAAAGGAGTTCCTGAAATAAAAACTGATGTCGAGACACGTTCGACATAGGAGTGCAGAGGGTTAAGAAACATCCATGGAAAAATAAAAATTTTACCATAATCGTTAGTCGTTGATTAAATCGTTGCTCGAAATTTGCTTTCGTTTTATTTTATCTTCGAAAGAGAAATATTTTTTTTACCGAAATTCAATCTCGGTACCGATCGTTGCACGCCGCCGATTCAAAGTGTTTTTTTCCCCCGGATCGAGGATGGGAAATAATCGCATTGGGAGAACGATTGTATGTCAAGAAGTAGGAGAGAAGGGGCCAAGATAGATCAGTTGTACGGCACCAGGGAGAAGTATAGCTCTCCTAGCCGTGCTATTAGCTCTTAAGCTAAGCCGGAAATTCCAGACCGGAACCCGGCAGTCGCGAGTCGAACGGTTGCAGTGAAAAAAACTCGCTCGAGGAGAGCCAGAGAAGATGGAAGGCAGATTGTGCGAGGAGAGAAAAGGATTTATAGAGATCCACCAACGGACGCCCTTCTCGCGTGGCCAGCATGGCGATAGTTTGTTTAACGCTCTCTATGAACTTCCTGGGAAGGATTCAATTAAAGCTAACATTCGTTACCGGGCCCTCCAAGAAGCTCGTTTCGTCACTATTGTTAATTACGATTCGATCTTACTCTTCGATGAGCAACATCGCCCTTGACCCAACTTTCTCGCTAATTTCAATGTTCATCGCGTGATTGTCATTGTTTCATATTCTCACAGTCATTGTATTCAATATTTAATACGATACAACGAATGTAATCTACATGAATATTGAATACATTGTAATATTTGTATCACGTTAAAATAATTATTCTATATGACTTTACGAATCCAAAAAAATGTCAGAGTTCCTGACGTTTTATTTATAACGATAGTGCTCGCGCGGTAAATCACAAACGAACGCAGACATTTTAATTTAACCGTTAAGGAGAAGCGGATAAATTTATAAATAATTTATTAGCGCGGGTCGGTCCATGAATATCGATAAGCATGACCGTCGTGAATAATTCATTCGCAAAAATCGAGTCGACTGTATACACTTTGCATCTGTTAAGTTACATCCGTCGCATAGAAGTCCCAAATGTTTGCATCTCGATCAAAAGTGAACGCGTCTACGAACACTTTCGACGATAAACAACAATTTCAAACGCAGATTAATCGTGTGAAATTTCAGGAAGCAAAAGATCAATCCCAATCCTGTGTCACACAGAAATTCCCAAAATAATTTATACACAATTCTATTTAGAAATTAAATCTCGTCAATTAATTGCATAACTATACGTTTAAAAAATGTTTAACATTTTTTACAGTTATAATTACAGTTATATACGACTCTATCGTGCTGTCGAGGGCCATTTTTAAGGGCGAAGTGACCCTCGTTACCTCCATTTGGAATTAAATTTCGAACACACGTTTGTGTCGAAGTTTAAGGCGAAATTTTTAGACCGTTCACCATTCGGATAGTTCGTTACTTCCGGTTGCGTCATCCGCAATTGTTGCGTGATATATTCCCTCCCCTTGTGTCGCGTCCGAGCGCTCCCGCGCGACAGCTTCGCGGGAATTTGAATTTTAAAGCGCATTCTTGGCCGATTCCCGCCGTCTACCAAAAGGAAAAAAGTCACGTTTCTTCTTTAATCTTTTTTCCTCGCAACGTCGTTTCCCGCGTCATGCGAACAACGTGTGCCCGTGCAGTAATATCTCGCGTCTCAGACAGGTAACACGGATTCGATCCCCCCCCTATGAATTTTCATCGCGTCATGAATTTTTTCGTCGAATCGAATATCATTTAAAACGTTCCACAGAAATCAGACGTTCGAAACGGGAGTACGTTTCCTAGCCTTCGTGACAATTCGTGAGAGCAAGAATTTTGATAATAAAGAGTAATTTCACCGTTGCTTTGAGCAACGGTGTGTCTCAAAATGGCGACTCTGAGAAACGAAAGTCCCATTCGCTCTTGTAAAGCTCTATATATTATCTCTAACGCGTGTTCGATTGAAACGTGTCCAATGACCGACGCATTTGATATTTCTCGCTCGTAGCTAAGGAATGATTGCGCCAAATAGAAGCATTCAGCGTTGGAAATCCGATTCAGGTGAGCATCGCGGGGCTAAGCGTCTCGAAAATTTGAGCACGGCGTCGAACGAGGTTTTATCGGGTTTCTGAGGGGAGGGAGGGGTGTGGAAAAACGAGAAGTACGTTGGAAACATGCAGGAGGCGGCAATAGGATTTCGTGACAAGTCGATTTGCTATGGAGCAAAGTTCGCGGATTCGTCGGCGTCGTCAGCGTCGCCCTTTACGCGCGTTTTCACGCTTCGCGACAATGTCTGCGGGGAAAATTTTAGATACTCGATATGTGGAAAACGGAGTCGCGATAATCGGAACAGTAACGCGAGGAGTACGTACAGGTTTATTTACCTCGAAGCCTTCGTTACCCGAGCAGAGTTCGAATAAATTATAAATATGGATGTTTATGAGTGGAAAATATGCAACGAATGTATAAAATAGCTAGTAATAAGATATACGTTGATTACAGTAATAATTATATCATTTTATATTTTAGAGGCTAAACTTTGTCGGTATATTCTCAGAAAAATGAATAAAATTTATTTTATGCATTCGTGTCTCTGTTTATAACTTTCTCCAGTTGGAACATCCTGTATAGCATAGAGCTTAACATTTTGGTTCGCTGGATATCAAACGGGGGAGCCAAACGGTAAGAAGTGAGATTGATGGTACTATGAAAGTTGACCAGAACTGTCGAGAAAGTGGCATTAAGTCGGCCGTTTTGCCCTTGGCATTTA